TGAGGTTAAAGTGGGAAGAAGCAGCGGATCTGTCGGGCAGCTGAGTGAAGTGGAGCCTGAGGAGGAAGCACCGGTTAGCCCCGGTTTCACTACAGGCAGATTCACTCGCTACAGGGAAGAGGATATAACACCTGAACAGCCAGTCAGAGGGATCTCTCTCACCGACAAGCTCCGCTGCCGACTCAACATGCTCAATCAGCCGAAAATTTGGAATGAATGATGAACTAACTATTAGTTAATGGTCAGTTCTTCTGACCTGATCTGATCAAATTTCAGAGGAGTAGTTACTGAGGAACTAATGAGGAACTAACTGTTACTTAATCATTACCTACCTTTTTTGTGTACCCTAAAGTAAAGTGAGACATCAAAATGAATAGGTAATGAGTACTGAATCATTACCTACTCATTAGTTACTCTTTTTGTGTAGCCTACCCTAAAGTAAAGTGAGACTTGTTTAGCCCCTGTAAAAGTTCCGGAACTCTGTCCTTCAGGGGTGGTTCCTGCGGTGGAGACACGCACCAACGGCCCCGGCCCCGTAAAATTACCCCAAAGTTCCTGCGGTGGAAACAGGCCTATTATGAGTAGGTAATGAGTACTGAATCATTACCTACTCATTTTGATGTCTCACTTTACTTTAGGGTACACAAAAAGGGTAGGTAATGAGTAAGTAATAGTTAGTTCCTCATTAGTTCCTCAGTAACTACTGAAATTTGATCAGGAGTTACTGAAGAACTGACCATTAACTAATAGTTAGTTCCTCATTCATTCCAAATTTGTTTCATAGTAACTACTTTAAATTTTGTGCACCTCAAACAACTGTACTGTGAACAACGGTGTGATCAGTATACAGTTATACAAGCTTAGCCTACCTAATATTATATAGTGTAGTGTGACACACTATCATATTTATTTCTAAGGCATCATCGTACAGAATAACATGGAAGATCATATTAATGTGTATGTGGTCTGAAAATAATTAATAAAACTCTTCTCAAGAATCCTGCTGTCTGATTATTTTTGTTAAGGAGCTAATTGTAAAGATGATGATAATGTAATGAAAGACTGCTCATTATGTGTCACTTTACTTTAGGACATAAAAAGGTTAACTAATGGACGGGTTATTGAGTAATGATTCTGCACTGATGAAGTAACTAGTTCACTAATTATTAAGTTGTGATTAACCCCTCTATGAAATTTGATCATGAGTTAATGAAGAACTGACCATTAACTAATAGTTAGTTCCTCATTAGTTCCTCATTCGTTCCTCATTAGGTCCTCAGTAACTACTCTAATTTTGTGTACCTTATTGTAAAGTGTTATTGACTGCCTGTATTAAGATGTTTTAATTGTGGTTTAATTTTACAACAGAGACAAAGAATGCTGAGACTTGCCAAACTGACAATGATGCAAGTAATGCGCCTGTCTGCAGCAGAGAGCTGTGACTCTTTTTTTTTGTGTGTGTGTACAGTACAGGCCAAAAGTTTGGACACACCTTCTCATTCAATGCGTTTTCTTTATTTTCATGACTATTTACATTGTAGATTCTCACTGAAGGCATCAAAACTATGAATGAACACATGTGGAGTTATGTACTTAACAAAAAAAGGTGAAATAACTGAAAACATGTTTTATATTCTAGTTTCTTCAAAATAGCCACCCTTTGCTCTGATTACTGCTTTGCACACTCTTGGCATTCTCTCCATGAGCTTCAAGAGGTAGTCACCTGAAATGGTTTTCCAACAGTCTTGAAGGAGTTCCCAGAGGTGTTTAGCACTTGTTGGCCCCTTTGCCTTCACTCTGTGGTCCAGCTCACCCCAAACCATCTCGATTGGGTTCAGGTCCGGTGACTGTGGAGGCCAGGTCATCTGCCGCAGCACTCCATCACTCTCCTTCTTGGTCAAATAGCCCTTACACAGCCTGGAGGTGTGTTTGGGGTCATTGTCCTGTTGAAAAATAAATGATCATCCAACTAAACGCAAACCGGATGGGATGGCATGTCGCTGCAGGATGCTGTGGTAGCCATGCTGGTTCAGTGTGCCTTCAATTTTGAATAAATCCCCAACAGTGTCACCAGCAAAACACCCCCACACCATCACACCTCCTCCTCCATGCTTCACAGTGGGAACCAGGCATGTGGAATCAATCCGTTCACCTTTTCTGTGTCTCACAAAGACACGGCGGTTGGAACCAAAGATCTCAAATTTGGACTCATCAGACCAAAGCACAGATTTCCACTGGTCTAATGTCCATTCCTTGTGTTTCTTGGCCCAAACAAATCTCTTCTGCTTGTTGCCTCTCCTTAGCAGTGGTTTCCTAGCAGCTATTTGACCATGAAGGCCTGATTGGCGCAGTCTCCTCTTAACAGTTGTTCTAGAGATGGGTCTGCTGCTAGAACTCTGTGTGGCATTCATCTGGTCTCTGATCTGAGCTGCTGTTAACTTGCCATTTCTGAGGCTGGTGACTCGGATGAACTCATCCTCAGAAGCAGAGGTGACTCTTGGTCTTCCTTTCCTGGGTCGGTCCTCATGTGTGCCAGTTTCGTTGTAGCGCTTGATGGTTTTTGCGACTCCACTTGGGGACACATTTAAAGTTTTTGCAATTTTCCGGACTGACTGACCTTCATTTCTTAAAGTAATGATGGCCACTAGTTTTTCTTTAGTTAGCTGATTGGTTCTTGCCATAATATGAATTTTAACAGTTGTCCAATAGGGCTGTCGGCTGTGTATTAACCTAACTTCTGCACAACACAACTGATGGTCCCAACCCCATTGATAAAGCAAGAAATTCCACTAATTAACCCTGATAAGGCACACCTGTGAAGTGGAAACCATTTCAGGTGACTACCTCTTGAAGCTCATGGAGAGAATGCCAAGAGTGTGCAAAGCAGTAATCAGAGCAAAGGGTGGCTATTTTGAAGAAACTAGAATATAAAACATGTTTTCAGTTATTTCACCTTTTTTTGTTAAGTACATAACTCCACATGTGTTCATTCATAGTTTTGATGCCTTCAGTGAGAATCTACAATGTAAATAGTCATGAAAATAAAGAAAACGCATTGAATGAGAAGGTGTGTCCAAACTTTTGGCCTGTACTGTACTTGTGCATTTGTTCAAGTTTCATGTCAAACCATTTTTGAGGACACGGAGTTAAAGGAGCTATATGTAAGAAATCTAAAGCAAATAGTTGTAAAATCCTCCTAATATGTCACAGAGACTAAGGAATAATGTTCATATAACATACTGATCTCACCGACAACAATAGTACAGCCAGAATGTTCGCATTTAAAAAACATTTTTACAGCCTGCAAATCTGTTTATGTTTTGAATTTGTGTTTTGGCCTGTTGTGCCACCCACCGCCGTCTACCAGTCACGCAGTCAGTAGAGTCTCAGCATCACTTACAGTTACGACTGAGCTACAGCAGCACGGCAAGCAGCATTAGCAGTGTCCCGGTACATAGCATTAGCAGCCGGCTCCTCCTCAGCTGTATCCCGGCAGCAGCGTTAGCAGTGTCCCGGTACATAGCATTAGCAGCCGGCTTCTCCTCAGCTGTATCCCGGCAGCAGCGTTAGCAGCAGAGAAGCCGGACTTGCTCGAACGGTCCGCTGAAAAACTGAAGATCAAGGACGGGGCGACGCGGCCCTGCCACAGCAGCCGCCTGTGGGCAAACAAATCAGTCTTCAGCATGCCGCTGTCCAGCAACCTCGAATCGTAGGGGAGGGGGGGGCGGACACGACTTGCGGCAGTATTTTGAATTTGAGTGCAGTAACCGTTTTGGCCACATTCTTACATACAGCGCCTTTAACAGCATCTGTTACATTTTTTCTAGGCCTTTGATTTACCTGCCCCTGTCACATTACTAATAACAGAAGAAAATAAAATGTATTTTTCAACCCCCGCTTCACCTAAAATAACTTCAATCTCAGTTTTTCTTTTTCCGTCTTTTCTTTCTTTGTTTGTTCCATGTACATGTTAATATTTTTTGGTCACTGGCTGTCCATGGGCAGGGATGTATGCTAATTGCTGACTCATGGGAGCTCACTGTCACTTTACGATTGATTGGCATTCATGAACATACATACGTGCCTACAATCAAATCAGAGTTTTCCACAGCATTCATGAATCCAGAGTAGGTTTTTAGTACCAAGGTTTTTTATGTGCAAATGTACTCACAGATTTGATTACATTTCATGAATGAGACGTAGTGTGTGCTGCTATTGTAGTCTCGGTATGCAGCACAGGAAATGGAACTGCTTCATTACAAAAAAAAATATCTATAATATTTTATCTCTTCTTTTTGTCAACAAAAATGAAGAGAGATTTAAGCAATACTACATTTTAGTCTCGTCCTTTTCTCAGCAACAATATTCCTTGTTAAGAAGGTCAGAGTTAGTATTTAATAACATGAATGCCATCTTGTCATAGTCTCATCTTAGTCAAGAAAAAAAGGTTGTTGACAAACGTTTAGTCATAGTTTTTATTAAACTAACACTGACGCCTTGGCCCTTGATGCCTGTTTTGCACTGTTCTTTGTCCTCTAATATTGGGAGGAAAAGGTGCCAAGAAGGCAAGAATGGTAAGCACACAGTACATTTGGCACATGCACAGCTCTTGGCCAGTTTTTCAATCCTTTGTTTGCAATCGGTGTCAAGACGAAGAAAGAGAAAGGAGGGAAACGAAGAGTGATGTAAGCAGGGGGAAAAGACAAAAGGTATCACAGAACTTGTGTGAACCTGAAGAAAAACAGAGGATTACTTTTTCTTTTAACCTCTGCAAGTGTATCTGTGTGGGCGTTTCACAACTGCAACTCAATTTGTGATTGCAGTATCTCTCCGAATCCCCAGATTAAAAACACAAAGGGTAAAATGTTGTTTATCACATAAAAACAATACTTCCTCAGCTCCTCTTTGATGCTTGCAGACAAAAATGAAAAGTAGAGCATTGATAAAAATAATTCAAGGGTATTTTGTTTACATTTTTTCCCTCTTTTCTGTCCTCTCAGGATAAAGAGGAACAATGGATGACCAAGCTCGTCCCGGGAGCGAATGATTTTGCGATGCTGCAGCCGCTGCAGTGGAACACAAGATATGAAGTGGAAATCACAGCGCGCAACGTCAAGGGTCTGTCGGAGCCCACCTTCTATCAGTTCTTCATGCCACAGAAACCCGACATTACAGGTAAAAGCACGATAAAAGAAAACTTTTGTGTCACAATTTGCCTTTCTAATACTTCCACTTTCCCTTTACCTGGAGCTGGTATTGAATGCCTTTTCAAAGCCCCCAGAGAGCATATTCTGAACTTGTTGTGTTAAGCGGTGTGCTATTCGTGCCACTGGAAAGAGCGATAGCATTGGCGATAACAAAAGCAGAGAGCAAGATGTGCCAGTCGAGATAAAGGCGAGCCTCCGAGTGCAGCAGGCCTCGTCGCTGCGGTTGCTTTCTGGACAAATGAAACTGCTGTCGGTGCTGTGCCTCTGCTGCAATGGATTTTTTTCCCTGTATGATTGTTGAATGAGAAATGCTTTGCTCAGAAGTTGTTTTCTAGTGTTGCATTGAAGAGCTGCACACTTCTCAAGTGTAAAACATTGTTGTGGCTGCACTAAAAACATCTGTTTGACATTGCACCATAACATTTGGCCAGTTATCTGCAGGATTCAGAAAACGTGAACAGAGTGACAAAATTAGCCTGCTCGCCATCTGAAAGCACCACAATAAGAATAAGATCGAGCAACCCAGAATATGGCCTCTGTCATTTCCCATAATGAAGCAATACAGGAAATAGTATATAGTTGCATTACAATTTTTTTTTTTTACAGGCTGAGTAGCACTGCTTGTGACAAGTAAACTGAACTACATGTGTAAAATTAGTGGAATACCCCTTTAGAATAGCTTTAAGACATGTTTGCACCTGTGGATTGCTTTGGTTCCCAACTAGTGGGTCGCGGTCCAAAAGTGGGTCACAGGTCCATTCTAAATGGAAGTGACTTTGAAAAAACAAACTTTATTTTTAAGTGCAGTGAATTTTCAGCACAGAGCTTTTATTCTTTTTATGGACAGCTCTTTGGCAGAAGAAGAAAAAAATGACCCTTTGCTTAACACTGCCTCATTTGTTAAGCAAAGGGTCATTTTTTTTCTTCTTCTTTATATAATTGTAAATTGAATATCTGCTGGTCAGACAGAACAAGAAACTCATGACATGAAGTCAAACTCAGCTCACATCCCAGCTACATCAGCTGATCTCAAACGGCCCAATCAACTGATGGAGCAGCTGCTTGATGGAAGGGAGAGCCGGTAGATCACATGATTCCTTTCTATGCAACCAATCTGCGTATCTCATTCAAGGCACCCTATTTAAGCTGCCTACTGTTGCTGCCTCCTCTACAAGCTGCTCCACCCCAATACCTCCTATTCATGTTGTATCTGATTTATCAATGTCATTTCTGTTTCTCATTGATACTGCTCTGTTCTGTTCCAGGGGGGTCTTTGCTGCTGCTCTCCCTGCCTTAGGCCTTCCATGTAGGCACATAGAAGGGCAGGAAGGTGTGCTCTGTCTGCCTCTGGCTTTCCTCATTTGCATGTGGAAGGTCAGACAGGTGTGCTCTCTCTGCTTTAAGGCTTTCCACGCAGGCGCGTGGAAGTGGGGAGAGGTGTGCTCTCTCTGTCTTAAGCTTTCCACATAGGTGTGTGTAAGAGGCTTTCTGTGTAGGCCCAAGGAAAGGTAGAGAGGCCCCAGAATAGAGCCATACCACCAAATATAATACTGCAAATGGAAACAAAGTTTTCTTTTACTAAAGTGATCTTGACTGAAGTCTAGCAAAACTCTAGCACTAGTTGTTTGGTGTAAGTCCGGCATCATTTTTGGTCGGTCCACGTTTTCATCGCAAAGACTTGGCTTTGAAGTGGACCAAGCCTCTCCTGTCAGGCTTTCTTATTGTTGACTCGGGATTCATTCAAACCGGTTCAAATAAGCATCACAAATCACACCAGGGTTCCCTTCAAAGAAACCCAACAGATCACAAGAGAAAACACCCTCAGGCTGTAGTTTTCTTCTTTAAAATATCATTCTTCTTTCTTCTTTCTATTTGTGTCGTAGTGCTGCTTTGCAATTCTGCACCAGAATGCAGCACAGACAGAATGCTCATGCACGGCCAGATGATCACATAAGCCTGTACACAAACACGGACGTCTCTCTCAGCTCTGCCTGTGTCGTCCTTATGTTGAGGTTACGGTTCTGCCCCACGAGAAGATTGTGCGTGTTTGTTGAGTCCTGTGCTGCTTGTGGTGCCCTTTTCTTTGTGGAGCTTTTCTTTGCTTAATGTTCCAGAAAAAAAAGCCTGGCTGTGCAGGAATCTTCTCATTTCAGAGTACTCCAGGCCGTTTGGGCTAACATACAAGCAGAGGCTTTGAAGTATGCAGTGACATATATGTACTGTTGCAGTAAAAATGTGAGTGCATTACCCCTGCAGCCCTCCACTCTCACATGTGAAAAACCAAAACAAAGGAAGGCTGTTTCAGTGCTGTTTTGCTATCCTCTTCTGACGCCTGTTACCATATCCATTTGTCCCGTTTTGGATCCGGCAAGTGTTTGCCTCTGTCATTACTGCACTGGCTAAACGGCCTGCGAGAGTGTGTGCTGCTTTTCAAATAGAAAACAAGAGCAGGGGAACCGGCAAGCTTAAGGCGGGTCACTTCGATTGGCTGTCCTCTCTTGTTAGTGAACAGCGGTGCATTGTGGGAAAGAGAGAGAAAGGGGGGAGAGAAAACGCTTTTCTCTTAATGTGTTTGTTTGAAGAAGAGTAACACCATTGAGCTTTTCGGCTACGAAGGCAATAAAGGAGCGCAGAGAGAGTGGGAATCTGTTGGAGCAGGGGTTTTAGAATCATGCGCTCGAACTTTGTCTTGCAACTTTTCTCACACGGCACTGCAATCACTCCTTTTCCATCCCATCAGCTGATACCAGTCCCACATCAATTTACACTTGAATAATAGCAGTTTATGTTTACCACATTTTCATTAAGCGAAAGCCTCAATCTTAATATTTCTCAGCCAAAACCATGCCCATTTATTTATATAATCTTGTGCAGGTTAAACTGAAAAAATGACTCACATTTTCTGCTCCACTGAATCAAATTGGATGTTGAGGAAGTCTGGTCAGCTCAATCAACAACATTAGATGTGAAATATCTGCCAATCCCAATCGGTCTTTCCAATTCATCGCCTGGCTTTACTTTTACTCCCTTACACAAACACGCTCACATGCACACTAGATAAAAGAAACATCTCCTTGGGTTTTTTTTTTCTCCCCCCGACACTGAAAATATGTTCACACTATATAGGTGCTTTCTATCTCTCACCAACCAATTTCTCTTTTCAATTCTCTCTCGATGTATTATGCATTTGCAGAGTATTGAATTGGCACTTTTCTTTTTCTTTTCCCCTCCTCTTTTCTCCGTCCTATTTTAGTTTGTAACAGGCTGCATAACCTTCCTCCCCTCCTGCTCACAGAGGATCCTTTAAGAAAAATGCCATTGATTGCAACACTGCCCTTGGTTCCTTTTCAATTTACTCTTCTTCCTCCGAGTCTTTTTTTTTTTTTTTCGAAATCAAAGTTTTCCTTTCACCCTCTAAATCACTGCACTGTCCCTCTGTCCTCCCCAATTACAACATTGTGTCTTGAACACCAGGTTTTTTGAGAGACCACGCTGATTGGTTGATGAAGAGACTTTTTGTCTTGTTATGCCCTTTCAGCATTGTTGCCATGGCTTCAGTAGGGCCTGACAGGAGCGCACTTCTCCATTGAGCAAGGTTGGCAACTGCACTAATAGGTATTAAGACTAGAGGTTTAAGAAAAACCTCTGAATACACACAAAACAGAAAGTTTGCTGACAACCCGAACCCCCCACTGTGCTCCTAAACTTTTACCATAGACTGCCTAATGAATGTAGCCACCCTGATGTCACCCATTGGTGTGTGGGCTCCTATTTTGAAACCTTGAGTTTGCCATTTTGGCCATTGCAATAATATTTTTTGGAGCCAGAAGTAGACATATTTGGTCCAGACAGCAAACCCTCTGGTTCCCAAGTCCCTATGGACTGAGCTACTGCCATCCCCCACAGTGGATATAGCAAAGATACACATCGATGTGCCTCTATCCTGATTGACAGGTTACTGTAGTGGCGACCTGTCAATCACAAGGTAGCCACATCCTAAGGACTTATGTCTTTTTACCCTAAATTGGACCATAATTTACAAAATGAGCATCATGCTGTATTGAAAAGACTTGAAAATAGTGCTTGAGACCATAAAGTCATTAGGAAAATGTTTATGAGCTTATAAATAAAGTGATAAATAAAGTACCATCGCTTTGGATTCACTTATTAAGTCTATAACTTTTGCTAAAATCAAATTTTTACAGTGCATTTTTTTATAGTCCAGTAACAGTTTTACTTAAAGGTGTAGAGCAGGCATAGGCTGCATCTAAATATCCACCCCTGGACATGCAAACTGAGGCCTCATGGACTTCAGTCGTAGGAACTGTGACAAGGTCACTGTCATCACGTAAAGTCTGCAAGGGCAGAGACCACAAGCTGCTTGTAGACAGGCCTCAAGTCTGTTTTGCTCGTTGCCATAGACACATTCAAGTGACGATTACAATCTGTTACATGGTAATCACTGCTGTCATATTTTGTCTGCTCATCTGTCCCTGCAGATAATAAGATATAAATCCCATGCATAGGGTTGTTTTGTGAGTGAACAAAATATATCTCTGTATAACGTATAGACTTCAGACCTTCATATACAGAGATGGGTGTAAATAAGGAATGGGCTATGACTAAATAGCTTGGTTAGGACTTTTAGTTACATTAGAAGATCTTCTTTTGTTGTTTTTCAGACAATTTTCTAGCCTATATATTTGGCATTACACTGTGCCAACTACAGGGTAGGCTGCAATAATACATTGCATTTTGATGATCCTCTAGCCTTTATTTCTATCTATTTCTGTATCATGATGTTGTTGAATATTATGTCTGGCCTACACAATTCATGTAGTTTTATTAGGCTACAGTAACTGTTTTACATATACATATCACATACAAGTTTTTGAGTCAGCTATTGAAAAGAAATCAACCTGAAACGTCATGTCCATATTGCAATGAATTGTGGGCATCAGTTAAGTC